TTTCTATATACTAGATATTTAAAATTTACTAACTAATCTATATATAGGCTACTAGATAAGGTCTAAACTTAAAGATAAATAAATATTCTATAAGGGGATTTAACCTTAGATTAAATTAATCCTTATAATAATAAAATAATATATATTATAGTTTATATATTACTTTTAAAGGGTACTTTAGAGTTATTTTTAGTATAATAGAGTACTTTATAAAGATCTATAAAATAATATAGAATAGATACTAATTAAATTATAAAAATATATAAATATAATTTAGTAAAAATACTTATAATAGATTATAAATAAACTAGAAGGACTATAAAGATATATATAAGTAAAAAATATATTAAATAATATTAAAATAATATATAAAAGTAATTATATTAAAAATATAATTAAAAAGTATATTATTAATAAAAGAGGATTTATTAATATATTAAATTACTTTACTAAAAACTCTAGTAAAAATACTAGTAAAAGTTTTAAAAATATTAAAGAAATAAATATAGACTCTAATAAAAACCTTAGTAAAGACTTTAATAGAAACTATAGTAATATTAAAGAAATAGATATTATTTATAATAAGGACTTTAGTAAAGGCCTTAATAAAAACTTTAATAAAGGTTTTAATAAAAACTCTAATAAAGATTTTAGTAAAAACCCTAGTAAAGACCTTAATAAAAATCTTAGTAAAGTTAATAATTAATATTATAATATTATATAACTAATTAGTATATAGTAAAACTTTAGTCTTAAATTCTAGTACTAATAGTTAATTATTAGTACTATAATAAATATATATAGTAAAGCTCTAGCCTTAGATTCTAGTACTAATAATTAACTATTAGTATTATAATAAATATATATAGTAGAGCTCTAGCTTTAGATTCTAGTACTAATAATTAACTATTAGTACTATAATAAATATATATAATAGAGCTCTAGCTTTAGATTTTAATATTAATAATTAACTATTAGTACTATAATAGATATATATAGTAGAGCTTTAGTTTTAAATTCTAGTATTAATAGTTAACTATTAGTATTATACTAAATATATATAGCTTTATAGCTTATAAATAAAATAAATTTTATAGAAATTTAAAAATATATAAAAATAAATTAAATATTTAAAGTAAATTTATATAAATTTATAATATTTTTTAGAGGTACTAAGATAGGTATATTAAGTTATTATAATAGGGAAATTTAACTATACTATATTATATAAAAGGATATACTATTTAGGGAAATTTAAAAAATTAAAAATATACCCCTTTTAGGTGAACTTGTTAGCTGTAGTGATGCGCTCGATCTTCTCCTTGGAGTCCGACTTCTTGAGTATAAGGGCTGCCCGTCTGAAAAATACCAAATCGGCAATCCCTGCTCCCATGTTTGCCACATACACATCCTCTGTTGTATACGTGGACTCCCATAGCTTATGTGTATATTTTCCAGTAAAGTCGTACTCGAAATCCAGTCGAATGTTGATTGACGCGAACTTTGCAGAAAGACCGTCGTGATTATGTTCCGTGAAATAGTGTTCATGAGATTTGGCTGCCCGATGGAGGCCAAGTAACAAGACCTGGGCTTGCAGCTGGAGATGGCCAGCGACGACCTCCCCATAAAGATTTGGGGTCAGTAGTTCACAACTGCAACTCAATATCTTTGTTTCTTCAATGAAATCTCCAGAAGAAAATGCTTGCTGATAAAATGCAACTCCGCCCCCCTCGGATGCGGCCCAAGACCAAGACGGGACCGGCAGCTCTCTTGCGTCGACAGGTTTTGACAGGTAATTTGAGTTCGAGTTGAACCACATGAGTTGCTGCATCAGATCACTTCTCCACATACCAGCTAGGTATGTACCTGGATATTCTCTTGTTCCACCAAAGCTGGCAAAGGTCTGGAACTGCCTGGCGATACCCGACAGTGCTGGGAATACATCTTTCTGAAACGTGAGGCGCCGGCAAGTATACTCCATAACAATCTTTTGCCAGAGTTGGGAAGCAGCCTCTTGAGAAGGATCACTCATACCACTGAACCAATTGCTCTTGCGGATCAGATGAGGCGAGTCAAACTGCGAGTCTTTCTCGGAACACTCGCATAGGGTGTGCTTCTGGCACTCCCAGACAGCTTCAGAGGGGCCGAGGTGTAGAACGCGTGGTAATAGAAGTCTTTCTTGGAAAGCCCAAGCGCGCTGCATGAAAGGCCACGAGCCCAGCATAGTCCATTTACCATCAGAAATAGTGTGAATTTTTCGGAAACTGGCGTAGTTGTGCTGGATGTCTTTCCGCACGAAGAACTCTACTTCGGATTCATCTCCGAACGTGGTCTGAAACCCGTATGCGGGACAATCAGAGACCCTAAAGCATCCTTCTGTATCATCTCTTGATGCAGAAGCGGCTATAGTGAGGTAGGAATTACTGTAAACCTCGGCCATCTTCGAGGCTTCAGAAGCCCAATCATCGTCATCGTCTTGGATGATGCAAAGCGAGTCGATCCAAAGGTATGATAACCCTAACATGCTGCACAAACTTAGAGCCTCTTGGAATGTCTTTGGTAGCTCGTGCCAATCAATGCCGTTCTTTCTTTGCTGTCTAGTTGCGGTAGTGGTCGTTAAAGGTTGACGCGACCCCCAACAATGAGACAAACACGCGTAAGTTACAGGTGCATGACCAGGGTCGAGCTCTACGAGCGTTGTACTTTGTTTCTGGGTATCCACAGTAAGGAGTCGTCGTGGAACAAACACATCTGATCTACTACAAGCTGGATGGAGCTGGTCACACTCTTTCAACCAAGCACGAATGTTTGCAAGTGCTTCTTTGGATGACGTACTCCCGGATATCAATTTTTTTGCTGTGCTGAATGGCCATTCTGGATGAGCTGAGCAGAATTAGTTCTTTCTTACAATGTGTTGTAGTCCCCTCACCTTGCAAGAAAAGTATCTCCAACGTGTCGAACGAAGTGTATTTGGGTTCAGTACTTTCCAACTCGCCAGTCCCTAGTTGATCCCCTTCCAGCTCATCATCCTCCAGTCCGTCCTCATCATCGATTACCAAGTCGGCGGCGTCTAATCGAACCAACAAGCGAGGGAGGCTCTTATCCCCTCTGGAGCTCTCTACCGGTGTGAAAGCGCACATCCAGTATATTGGACCTACTTTACTGAACGAGGCAAAGTAGGGGGTTTGAGTTACCTTGAACAGGATATCACAAAAACTGCAACTCTCCCTAGATTTTGGCAGCTTTGCAAGTCTTATTGGAACTCCGTAAAACCAGCTATCGTAATCCAAGTTACAGCAAGTTGAGCAGCCGCCTGGGTTGGAGTGAGCCCATTTTGCTAGTTCCTCCTTCGTCCCGTGATACTCGTAGAGTCCATTCCGGACCATCTTTGTGATGCAAGTAGGTTGTCGAGGTTACAGTTGACTGCACATGTGCAGTTCAGATGGTGTTATCGCTTGTTGAGTGATCTCTTCCAATGCGGCATGACTGCGCTTGCTACCCCCGCGATTAGGCAGACGCGGGGCACAGCCTCATACAGCGTGCATGATTTTTTAATCGTTGGCACGAACCACGAAGTGGTGTCCCACAAAGTAATACACAAAGTATGGATTACCGCCCAAAAGTAACACAAAATGAAGCGTTGTACTATACAGCGTGCGCGTACTTCCTTCCTTCCTAACGGTACATCATGTGCAGATGCCCTCACGGTATGTGACCACGGAAGGCTGGCTGTATGATTCTGTGTACTCCTGGACAATGATACTCCCAGACCGGTGAAAGACTTAGTGCACATCCTCCACCCATGCGCTATTATCGTTTGGCTGATATTTGAAGTCACTCACATCCTCCACGGCTCCGCATAGTTTTCACAGATACGTTCTAATAAGACTAGTACATGAGCAAAATTCAAAGCCACGCAGCTCTTCCTGCATAGCACCAAGATCTACTTTGCGGTTTCGCATCTGTAAAAACGATGAAAAAGTTATCTTATTTGCCCCAGTCAATTTTTTTAGTTCTGGGAGCGACGAGGTTGACTGCAATATTGTTAAATAAGAAAACAAAAAGGCAAAAAGAATGGCTTTCTCCGCTTCCAGAGTCGAACTGGAGACCTTTCGATTACAACAGATATTACAGTCGAACGTGATAAACCAACTACACCAAGCGGAGGAGTGCGCGCTGAACGCGCTTGGTGACTAAGCTTGATGAAGGATGCTTAATTCTAATTGTATATAAGCCTACGGTCAAGACAAATCCTCAACAGACAATTCGGTGGTGAGCGGATCTTGCCACCAGAGAAGAGTCTGCTAGCGGTTGATCTTATTAGCGCACCGTCCCCACATTTCATCCATGTACGAGAACGGTCTCTCACGGCAAGGTGAACACCGGCGATAAAGTATTAGTTTAAGATTTTAAACTTGTATAGTAGCCTGAGTTACTCGAGGGTTAACTTTATATATGTTAGCGAAGGCCTCAGCTTATATCCGGTCTTTATGTTCCCGTGAGAGTGGTGGTATTCGCAAGATGTTAGCGTAGCGAGACACTAAACCGGCGTGCGATCAATAATATCTAGGGTGCAAGTGAAACGTCCTCAGAGCTAAAAGGTAGAGAAATGTAAAGAACAGCTTCCATCGTAAGGTACATGATACTCAATCAAATCCTACAAGATGGCGCGCTGGAGGCCTCCAAGCTGCATACAGATGTGCTCTCTAATTACTACAAACTAGCACCACGCAACAGACAATGCCTTTGCGCATCTTTTCGCAAAAATACGTGATCCCTTACTGTTATCACCTTACCCTCTCTCGAGTCTGCACACCCTCACCCTCCAGTTGCGTTTACCCCGTAGCGAGCCCACATGCATGCAAAATTGTCTAAGTAGGGCCTAGCGCTCCTCCCCACCACCGCCCTGCCTTCCCCACCGCCAACACATCTCTTCCTCTCAACATATTTATGTGGTATATAATCTTACATTTTGTGCGATTAGTCATCGAAATACACTCGGGCTTGTGGTTTAGGGGTATAATGTAAGCTTTCCACCTCCACCATCCCTCTCACACTTAACTAACATTCATAGGTTCGCTTCGCATCATCCGCATGTGTCTGCGAAAGGTCCTGGGTTCGATTCCCAGCAAGTCCAGCTTTTTTGCGCCCCCAGAAGGGGTTGGGGATGTGTTTTTGCTACTTCGATGGAGAGGGAGGTCGCTTGAAGCGCTCCCATAGGCACTACAGACAGCTCAGACTTTTTCTACGACATGCTCGTGGCCTACAAACATCTGGTATTGCAGGGTCTTCCTGTCCATTCTTTCTCTCGATATCCTGCTCAGATCTCGCGATAGCTGTCGCGCAAAACAATCTACTAATCTAAGATTATGCGAAGAACGTCGGCTGTACGCATGCCTTGGGTGAAGGCTTATCGCTAGAGTCAAGCGTACTCTATCACTGGTGCGTAGAGTGAAGACATCGACTGTCTCGTTGACGCGCTTCGGGACGCCGAGTGTACCAGGTCTTCCGCAACTATAACCCACCGTCGTTAATTCCCTACAGTCCAGCCACATCTTATACACACGCGAGAGGCCAGTAAAGCTTCCTTTTGCGACCGGGCGAAACCCCCTTATCCCATCCCATCTCGTCTCCACCTACTTCACCTCCGCCCAAACCCAAATCCATCTCACAACCATGCCCACCTCTACCTCCACCCCATTACCCTGCCCGCCACCCCCCATTACACCCTCCCTCCTCCTCGCGGACGCCTCCCTGTTGTCTTCCACGGCCCCGAGATCCCCACATGTTACCCTGCCCGCTCCAGCCCAAAATATCCCAGTGCCATCATCCCCACCGAACAACCGCCCCCCGCCCACCGCCCATCCCCACAACATCCAACAAGCATCGAACTCGCCAATGGAGTCTCCTGGACACACTAGTCATCTCATCATCATACACCTCCATCTCCCAATGTGTTTTGCACTCGTCTACCTGGTGATAGACATTAACACGTCTGCCCCTACCTCGTAAACTTGCATCCCTTCCGGTATTGATACGCCTTTCCAAAGATGCCAAGAAGGAGAGATGCGGCAACTAGTGACCTGTCTCATTGCTCGCTACCACCCACCCCAATCCATTACCCAGCATCCCACAAGCAAGGCAAGCCTACAGCATCTCGAACAGCCAATACCCGCGCATGCATAACCATCTCCCCTACCGCTCACATTACACCATCCCTTACTACTGACGACCTATCTACTCTCCACACACCTCCTTGATCGCGCTTTACTCGCTCAAATAACCTACCGTACCTATCCCAATCCCCACCCACTCGCAGCAATCGCACCACGCCACGTACATACATCACTTGCATTCAATTCAACAAGAGAGCAAACACACGTTTTCAAATGCAAGCCAACATCATCCATTCAAGCCAGCCAGCTATTTCGCTACTTAGGGTATCATATCCCGCATACTCCCTTTCATAACATGTAAATCCCATGAATCTGCCATGTCAAACAGCGAAAACCGACCCAAGATTTGCACCGTAACGCCTTTTGATTCCAAAACTGCCGTGAAATGCTAGCTTCAAGAAAAGGGCGCGAAGCCCGTGTAGCAAAGCAGACAAATACTGGCTAGGGTACAGCCATCGAAAGGACAAAGTCTGCAAGTAGGCAATGAACCACCCGGTGCAGGTTTAGAATCCTGCCACAGTGCGGCGTCAAAAACCCAAACTTGTCCCAGCGCCGCATCGCGCTCTAGAACGTCTCGCAGCCATTGTCAAACAGGGCCTTGAACTCCAGCCGCTGCTTGCCCGCGCGGCTGCTTGCACGCGGCTTCGCATCCGGCGCAATGTAGTGGTCCTCCGTCTCGACCGTAGCATGGAGGTTCATGATGAACGGCTCCAACGTGTCGGCGCGGAGCTGCATGGCGCCGTCGTCCTGCGCGGAATCGTGCCATGTGATCTTGAGCTTCTCTAGCTCGGGGGCGCGCAGCAGGATCTCCAAGATGAAGTCGACGCGGCTCTTGAGGAGGACGGGGAAGACGGCGCCGGCAAAGCCAGTGGACTCGGCGCGGATCCAGGTCGTGTCCCAGACGAAGGTGATCTCGGCGCTCTTGATGTTCTCCATGGGTGAGAAGGGGGCTTCGGCGAGTTTGTTCAGGGCAAGCTCGAAGAAGGAGAAGTGAGAGAAGGAAACGGTGGCGTCGATGTTCAGCGTCGCCACGTCGTAGAACCACTTCTTGGCCTCAATGTTGAGCTGCTTCGAGATGACGAACAGGTTGGCCTGGGGAGGACATTGTGTGAGGCGCATAAACTTGGAGACATGGCGCCACATGTGGTTGGGCTTGACGATGATGACCTTGGGCGCAGGAGGGTCTGAGGAAGCAGTCTCAGCAGCGACGTCGTCCCCAGCAGTACTGTCGTCTCCACCAACGTCGGCCGTCTCTGCGTCGTGGGTTCCCTCTGTCTCTGGAGCTGCTACGGCAACCTCGCTCTCATCCTGAGCATCGGGCATGGAGACAGTAGGGGCAGCGATGGGAGCATAGATGTCCTCCAAGGTCTGGTTGTTCTGCGTAGCGGGCTGATCGAGATCGGTGGAGGTTGTGGCCGTATCAACGTCTTGCGCAATATTCGGGACGGCGACAGCTCCGTCGGTAACGTCGTCAGACATGAGCTCATCGATGTTCTCGTCCTCGTCCTCGTCCTCGACAGCATCACCATTATCCTCCTCGTCATGTTCGTTCTCATCCTCCTCCTCGCTCTCAGCGTCCTCGTCTTGATCCTCGGCTCTGAAGAGTACGTTAGCTAGCGTTCGAGGGAGCAAATAGTGCCAGGTCGGTGCTTCCTGTACAGTCTACCTGTACGAAAGGTATGCCAGGTAGCCATGTGCGGAAACCACGCAAAGCATAGACGGGATTGATAGGCGCAATCACTCACTCGTCATTCTCTCCGTCATCGTCCTCAACCTCATCGTCCTGCATCAGAGGCTCGTACTCGTCATTGTACTGGTGGTTATAGCCAGCCACATACGTGACGTTCGCGTCCGGGTCGTTCTTCAGGTTCTCGGCAATCTGCTCCTGGATGTCCGTCTTCTCGAACCAATAGCGCAGGGTGTAGCGCGGCTTGATGTTGCGGGCGGCTGCGACTTGGCTGAAGATGGCGTGGCGGATCTCGAGCGGGATGTCCAGCAAGGGCGAGGGAGCGGTCGGGTCGGCGGGTGACGACATGGTCGGCGGCAGTACCAAGTTGGGCCTGTATATGTTAGTTTGGTCCTGGTTTGTGGTTTGCGAGGTCGAGGCGAGCTGCTGGGTACGGCGGGAAGCTCACTTGGTGGCAGGTGGGGGTGGGTGAGGGTGAGATCGTGGGGACAGCTTGGAGCGGGCAGCGGACGTCATATGGCAGCCGTCGCAGTGAAGGTGAGGGCAGAGGGCAGCGGGTGGGCGCGTGAAGCTGTGCGCCCAGTTGCACGAGGCTGGCCTGTTGCCTGGTCGGCAGGAGCGGTGCGCGGGGTGCTGGCCACAGCGTTTGCCAGGCGGGGTGAGAGGTGCTGCGAGGACGAGTTTGCGCAAAGCAGAGCAGTGGACGAGGCTGAAGAGCGTCCATGGCGGCGATTGTGTTGGATTGTTGGGCGCTTCCTCGTGTCGTCTACCGTGGTAGCAAGTGGCGCGAATCGCGCTTGCCTCGCACCATTCGCTGCCTTGCAATCGCAATTGGGGAACGTCATTGGGTACTGAGGCCACTCCGAATATTCTGTATGTGTCAAGACATCTCGAGACCTGGCAAGATGAGGGATGTCGTTGTCTGTCTATGGCATGGTAGTCGCAACTTCCTCGACATGGGTGTGGCCCGAGCTCCATCGATAGTTGCGCGTCTTCTTCCATCACTCATCGTCGTCGAGCTTTCAGGACCGTCGGACTTGCATCTATCGCACGACATCTTCAACATGTCCTTCCGTATATCCGACATCATGCTAGTCCTAACGCCCATAATGTCTGATACACCAGCTTTGGGAGTCAGTGCCCTCATGTACGAGCATGCGGACATCGTCGTACCCACGAGTAGTATAAGACAACCTGAAGAAATGCCACCTTTGCAATCTCAGAAACACCAACATCAATCTACTGATCAATATCACTCTTGTATCCTCCAGTATTACTATTCTTTTGTTTCGCTTTCCTTGCATCAAATCACCATATTTCATCCAGTCCCCAAACCACCCCATCCACACAATGGCATCCAAGTCCTCCCCCGCCATAACCCTCTACCGCGGCTGGAACACGCCAAACCAATACGTCTGGTCCCCCTTCGTCACGAAAGTCGAGTTCCGCCTGCGCACCTCCCACACGCCCTACACATGCGGCGTGGGAGGCCCGCGCTCCGGCCCCCGAGGAAAAATCCCCTACCTCGACTTCACACCCCCAGACGCGCCTCCCGAGCTCCTCTCCGACTCGACGCTCATCCTGAAGGCCTTCAGCGAGCGCGGCGTGGTAAGAGATGTCAACGGAGGCCTGAGCAGCATGCAGAGAGGCCAGGATCTCGCCATCCGCGCGCTGCTCGAGGATCGATTGTACTTCATGCAGGGCCGCGAGCGCTGGGTCCAGAACTACTACACCATGCGCGACCACGCGCTGTGGGCGATCCCGTATCCCATGCGCCTCGTCATCGGGCTGCTGGCCTACCGCGCCAACGTGCGCAAGCTGTACGAGCAGGGCGCGGGCCGCTTCTCTGATGCTGAGTCGCGCGCGCTGGTCAGAGATGTGTGGGGCGGCGTGAGCGGGCTGCTGGAGGAGAGCAGGCGGACGGCGCCGCGGGATGGGTGCTTCTGGGTGCTTGGGCGCAAGGAGCCGACCGAGGCGGACGCGACCGTGTTTGGATTCGTGGTGAGCAACCTCGTGTGCGATGCGGCGCCGGACACGAGGAGGCTGTTGAAGGGGGAGTTTCCCGTGGTGGTCGAGTATGCGGAGAGGATACATGGGCGGTGGTTCCCGGACTATGACATGTGGCCGTGAGCGGAGAGATAGCGAAGCAAAATCAAGGTTTAATTTGGCGCGTACCCTCTACGGCCGTGAGGCACGAGCTCTTCCCAACTTCCCTTTCACCTCCGCCATTACGTGACCCGCCGCCGCTTCCACAGCACTTAACCGCCTCCGCCT